CCCACATGATGGCTTTCTTCATCTGTATGCCCATGGCCGGCGTAACCTTGAACAGGTTCTGTATCAGGGAGTTGGCTGCCTCGTAATTCTTGCGCGTGTAGATCAGCAGCCAGTTGTCCAGCGGCTTCACACTGATGAGCGGTGCGCCCCGCGTCTCCTTTGACCAGTCTGCAAACTGTGGGTTATATTCGAACTAGGAGAGAGATCACAGACACGTGAGGTCCACGGAGGGCCTGGGGCTGCGCGGCTCCATCCCTGCCCGCGGTATGCTCAAGTCAGGATTAAGCAACAGACCCAATGCTCCAGGGGGAGAACGGCCGAAGGCGCCCCCGCACCAGCGTCAGGCGTGGCACTGTCCACCCACCACGGCAGCACTCGGGAGGGCAAGGCCAGAGGCCGCGTGGACCAAGCCAGTCTGGGCTGCACAGCAAGACCTTCTCAAGAGGCCCTCCAGGAAAAGCGCGCTGCCATTCAAGGGCGACCCGCCGATGGGCCTTCCTGTCCTGCTGCGCCTCCTAAAGCCCCTTGCACACTCTCCATCGCGTCTAACATCTGACAAGGTCAGGCACCTTCTCCTTGCCACAGAGATGGCCCCCTTAGCATCAGCCCAGTTCCTGGATGGCGGGCGCCAGCAGGAGGGGCCCTTGGTTGCCCACCACCCTCCCAGGGTCGAGGACCTGGCAGGTGCGGGACCCCTTACGGCTGGGCTGCTGTTCACACACTGCATGGAGGGGGAGGCCCAGCCTGCTAGGAAAGGTTGTGTTTCCCATGTTCGCAGTACTTTCATTACACAGAATGGCCCCAGAACCTTCCTTTCCTTCTAGGAAACACAACAGACCCCCGAGCCCGTGGTGCCTGTCCCTACACAGACAGGGTGGGCAGAGGGGGGCCGTGAGATGGGGGGCTCTCTGTGTGCGCCCCGGGCAGCCGCCGCCGCGCTACACCTAGGCTACTCGGGTCACTCAGAAAAGGAGGTGCCATCTGGGGACAGCTGGTGACATGGCTGGGGACACGCTCAGCCTGGCCTGCACCGACGCCTGCCTGCCCCTGCGGTCCGGCCCAGGCGCTCTCCGCTCAGAGCCCCTGGAAGGCAGCCTTACTGTTTTTCCACCTTGGTGAATCTTCTCTGTTTGCAGAATTCTTCCCGAGAAGGACAGCAAGTTGGAGTCAAAGCTCAAGCCCCAGTCTCTC